CCGGCCCGCCCCATCTTCTCAGACCTGCCCCCCCCCCGCCCTGCTCCCACCTCGTGCTCAGGCCAGGGGGGGGCGGGGGGCGGGGAGGCAGGACCCTGGGATCTGACTGGCAGAGTGGCTGGGAGCGGGGGTGGGGGGGTGGGGGCGGGTCTGGCCTGGTCGAAGCCGGGCCTCAGTGTCTCCCCTCCACCAGCCACCCAGATTCCTCCGGAGCAGCCAAAGGTAGATGGCCAGCTGCCTCTGATCCTGGGCCCCGTGCTGGCCTTGTTGGCCCTAGTGGCCCTGGGTGCCCTGGGCCTTTGGCATGTCCGGCGGAGGCAGGAGAAGCAGCGGGGCCTGCACAGCGAGCTGGGCGAGTCCAGCCTCATCCTGAAGGCATCCGAGCAGGGGGACAGCATGCTGGGGGTATGGGCCTGGGGGAATCTGGGATGCGGAAGGGGGAGGAGGGAGACAGGAGCCACAGAATCAGAGAGGGTGCCGAGGGACAGGTAGCCAAGAAAGGCACAATCACAGACGCTCCGAGATCTTAGTGGGTGTGTGTGTGTGTGGGGGGGTGAGTGAGGAGCATGTGGGGACACAGCAGCGGGGCCCAGCTTAAGGAGGAAGAAATGGGCTGGGCCAGGTGGGGGCAGCCTCTCAGTGGCCTGTCCGTACTCCCCAGGATCTCCTGGACAGTGACTGCACCACGGGCAGCGGCTCAGGACTCCCCTTCCTGGTGCAAAGGACAGTGGCACGACAAGTGGCCCTGGTGGAGTGTGTAGGTGAGCCATGGGTGAGCCCGGGGGATGGCACCTAGGGCTCCTGTGAGCTTGCAGGAGTGAGCGAGCTCTTGGCCTCGCAGTCATGGGCAGGGCCAGGCCCCGAATGAGAATTCTGCTGGGTAGGGAGTGGCTTGGAGATGGGCTAGATCAGGGCTAGATCCTTCTGTGGGGGCTGGGGGTAACAAGGCAAATGGGGCTGGGGCTGGATTAAGCGGAACATAAACATCAGTGGTTCTGCAGTGGGGGGTCAGTGTAGCACCAAGACGGGGGTTTCTTCTGGGGATCCCCATGCCCAGGGGCTGTGCGGGCCCCTATGTGACCTCTCCCATCCCTCCCCCCATCGGATCAGGCAAGGGCCGCTATGGCGAGGTGTGGCGTGGCCTGTGGCATGGTGAAAGCGTGGCCGTCAAGATCTTCTCTTCGAGGGATGAACAGTCCTGGTTCCGGGAGACCGAGATCTACAACACAGTGCTGCTCAGACACGACAACATTCTAGGCGAGTGGGGAATATGCTAAGCCAGGCCAGGGGCTCAGCCCCCTGCACTCAGGGACACCGACCTAGTCCTGAAGGACTCCCGTCGCCCCTCAGCCCGATCTCTGACTCCAGCTTCCTCTCGGACCTAAGCCAGACCGGCCTCCAGCCCAGCCCCAGCTTTGCCCTGACCGTCTGTCCTCTGTCCCCAGCCCCAGCCCTGACCCTGACCCCGATCAGTCCAGCCTCCCTTCTCCCTCGCCCCTTGGCTGAGCCCCCTGACCCTCTGCCCACAGGCTTTATTGCCTCCGACATGACTTCCCGCAACTCGAGCACGCAGCTGTGGCTCATCACGCACTACCACGAGCACGGCTCGCTCTATGACTTCCTGCAGAGGCAGACGCTGGAGCCCCAGCTGGCCCTCAGGCTGGCTGTGTCGGCCGCCTGCGGCCTGGCTCACCTGCACGTGGAGATCTTCGGCACGCAGGGCAAGCCGGCCATTGCCCACCGAGACCTCAAAAGCCGCAACGTGCTGGTCAAGAGCAACCTGCAGTGCTGTATCGCCGACCTGGGTGAGCCTTTGCAGGGCGCGGGGTTCGAGCCCCCTCCCTCCCCACTAGGTTCTGCCTTTGCCTGTTCGTGCGTGAGTGTGTGTGGCGACAAGGACGCTACCGATTGGTGCTTTAAAACCTCCTGGCACGTGTGTTATGTCATTTCACCTCTGCGAGAGCCCCCACAGGTTGCCTTGCAGCTCCTTCCAGCGTACCGCCCTGGCTCCAGGAGTTGGGAGAAAGGGGCAGGGCACCAGGAGCCTGGGTTCTCACCCTGGCTTCACTTGACTGCACTGCTCTCCTCACCAGGCCTTGGGGGTTCTGCTCTGTGAAATTGGCACAATAACGCCTGCCTTGCCGACTCACGTCTCTCTGGGCGCTTGGGCACCTCGCAGGAGGGCTACACAAGCGTAACCGGGACAGGTGGGCTCCAGGTGGCCGCGGTCTCCCAGCCTGCCTCCAGGCAGGTCTCCGTCTGCCTGGGGCTCCATGTCCCACCATCTCTCTTCCACGCCCACCTTGCCTCCTGCACCCCAGCCTCCGGGGCCACCCTGCCTGTGGGCTCGGGTGAGCGGCAGGAGTGACAGGCCTGGTACCCACAGGCCTGGCTGTGATGCACTCCCAGGGTAGTGATTACCTGGACATCGGCAACAACCCGCGAGTGGGCACCAAGCGGTACATGGCCCCCGAGGTGCTGGAAGAGCAGATCCGCACCGACTGCTTCGAGTCCTACAAGTGGACAGACATCTGGGCCTTTGGCCTGGTGCTGTGGGAGATTGCCCGTCGGACCATTGTCAACGGTGAGGGCCAGCCCTGCACAGGATGGGGAAAGAGGCCTGGGGCAGATGGCTAGACAGGCGGACAGGCAGGAGACAGGGGCTTCCTGCATGGATGGTGCCGATGGCCTGAGGGTTCAACTGAGTGACCTTTTAAGGTGTGACTCTGTGGCGCTGTGAGTCTGGCTGTGAAATCTTGGATAAGTAGTAATACCAGAAATATCAGTAGCAGCTAACTTGTGAGCTTACACGTGAGCTTAAACATGCTATAGCCATGTATTATCTTGGTTCATCATCCCGTGTTGGCAGGAGGTGGTTATCACTTCGTGGTTAAGAGCATGGGGTGGGAATCAGACTGCCTAGGTTCCCTTCCTGATTTTGCCACTGACCCACGGGCAGGTTACTTAACCTCTCTGGGTCTCAGTTTCATTTGAAAATGAGAATGAAGATAGTTCTAGTTGCTGAGATAATCCTAGGACAGTATCTGGAGCTATTCTGGGGCTCAGTGAATATTCGTGGCAATTTATTGTAATAACGAATGCCTGACACAGTATCATCCCCATTTCACAGGTGAGGGTACTGAGGTACAGAATTAGAGCTGGCTAGAGGCAGCACCAGGGTCTGAAACCAGGCAATCTGACTCCGGGGCCGTGGTTTCTTTGCTACAAAAATGCAGGCTATAATAGCATCTGCACTGCCTGCTTATCGCTGCCTCATTATGACTGGGGGTGCCTCTGGAGGGGCTGGGAGCAGGTGGAGGGCCCTCATTCCCACTGGCCGGTACAGGGGCAGCCCTGTGGCCGGTGCCTTCCCAGCCCTGGCGTGGCTGGATATTGGGTGGTGGTCTGGACCAGGCGGGGAGGCTTGTCAGTCTCTGTGGAGGCTGTCTATGGGGAGGGATTGCTGGCGGTCCTGACAGGTTGGGGACAACCTCAGGTTATGACTGGAGCTCTGTTCCTTGGGGACAGGGACATTCTCATTTCCTGAGCACCTGCTAGGAGCCAGCCCCATGCCAGGCTTCATTTACCATCAGCATCGACAGGTGGAGGCCAGGGTGTAACCCATCCCTCTGGGAGACTCTCGAGGGGCTCAGATTCCTGCCCCTTCAGGTGTGAACTCCCTGAGGAGGCTCAAAAGACCCCGGGGTCAGGGTTGGGGCAGGAGGCACCTGGAGGGAGCCGAGGCCCCTTGGAGGAGGCTGCCGGCAGGAAGAGAAGGCTGGACCGGCCAGGGCCGAAGGGGGAGGCGGACTGCAGGCTCCTGGGGCGGAGGGAAGCTCTGTCAGCCCCACACAGATTTGTGGCGCATTATAAACACTGTAATCTGGTGTCAGCCCCGGCACTGATTAAAGGCCCATTAGACACGCTCAGGCCTCTATGCAGCACTGATTAGGGCTCTAGCGGCACAGGGGCCAGCCTGGAAGCCCGCCATGGGGAGAACAGCTGGTGTAGGCCCTACTGAGGTTGTGGCTGTGTGGCCACAGCCCCCTCCCCGCCTCAGGCTGGGAAGCAGGGCCGGGGGGTGGTCTGGGGCGCCTTCTCTGGGTCTGGCCTCTTCTGCCTGAGCTGTCCGCAGCTCCGCACGCAGCATCTTCAGAAGGCTCCTGCTAAGGGACAACGAGGAGAAGCAGCGCGGATGGCCGGGGGCGGGGGGGGGGGGGGGGCAGCGGGGCCTGTGCCGTCGCTGACGGTGGGTGGCCGTTACGTGGACCTGGGTAAAAATCCCTTTCTCCTTGTGCCACATCGTCCCCCAGCAGTAGGCCAGCTCTCCTCCCGTGAGCGGAGCTCGGAGGTCAAGCGCGTGGGCTTCGGTTAGACCGGCTGGGCTTAAATCTTAGCTCAGTCACTCACTTACCTGTGTGATTTTAGCCAAGTTTCTTCACCCCTCTGGCCTTAGTTCCATTGTTCATAAAGTGGAGCTAATAGTATGACTTATCTCATGGGGTTGTTGTGAGGATTTGATGCAATGCTGTTAGGACAGCGCCTGGCACAGCGTAAACGTTTTTATCGGGCATCTGGGAGAGCTGGGGCCTGGGAGCAGTGCTCGGGCCCCGGGGGGGAGGCAGCCACGGAGAGACTGGAACAAGGTCTGGCCCGGGAATCCGATGAGATGAGTTTAAGCCTGGACTCTGCCCTTACTAGCGGTGTAACCTTGGGCTCAACTTCTCTGAGCATCAGTTTCTTCATCTGTCAACTAGAGGTAATAATAATACCCACTGGGTTGTCGCAAAGATGAAGACAGTAGAGCATGAAAGTGTTTATAGCACAACGCCTGGCACATGGTGAGTGCCAAGATCAACAGCCGTAATTCTTATTATTTGTCAACATATTGATTATGTTATAGTGTCCCTCTCAGGGGTAGCAGGGGGTCAGAGAGCTGGTTTTCTGGGCCCTGGGACAGAAGGTGGGCAAGGCTTTCCTCGGGATGGTATGGAGCCTTCTTGGGGTGCCGAGTGACTGTCCCATCCCCCCTCCATCCTCAGGCATCGTGGAGGACTACAAGCCACCCTTCTATGATGTGGTGCCCAATGATCCCAGCTTCGAGGACATGAAGAAGGTGGTGTGTGTTGATCAGCAGACCCCCACCATCCCCAACCGGCTGGCTGCAGACCCGGTGAGGCCTCTGCAGGGGCTGGGGGTGGCACGGGGTAATGGCTCACAGCTGGGAGTTCTGGCCCGAGGAGCACGTGCCCGAGGTCTCTGCCTCACCTGGAGAGATTCCGGAGGCTAGATTCCAGGGTCCCTCCCTGGGTACTCCCTCCCACATCCCTGGTCTGTGGACCCCTGAGATTTGGGTTATGCTGGGGTTTTCAGAACCTTCCATCTGGCCTGAAAAGTCTGAGTCTCTCTGTTGCATTTCTTGCTATGAACTTTTGTTGCTGCTGTTTGTTTCTGTTTTTTCTCAAAACACTCCACATGCATACGTAAGACATACAGGCATGCACATGCTTCTACATAAACAGAGCCTCACGGGTACATATGCGGCGTGCATATACATGCCAGACTACTGGTCCTGGGAGGACAAGAGCATGTCTCCTTCGCTGCCTCATATCCCTGTGATCTATCGCTGTGGGGGCTCACAATAAGTGCTCAACCGATGTTTCCGGAAAGAGTGACTGTACATGTATATACACATACGTACACAGACAGATGTATGTTTCTGCACAACATGCCTGTCCATAAAGAGCCACATGTGTGTGCTGCTCTGCGGACACACACGTACATCCCCTGTCAGGGGGCAGCTTTGTTCTGGGGCCACTGAGCATCCTGGGCTGGGTTCCATCTGGACACTCCTCCAGTGGTCGCCGGGCCCGGCCAGGGCTGGCGGAGGTGCTGGGAGACACTGCCCTCCGCACTGGGGTCCGGCTGCAGAGGGGCCCCCCCCGAGGCTCACACATCTCCCCTTCCCCGGGTATAAGATATTCCACAGACACTCCTCACCAAAGGGGGCCTGAGTGCACCCGAAGAGCTGAGTTACAACTGTCTTTCTGTCCTGCCTGCTGCCTTCCACCCCCTTCTCACTCCACTGTCTTCCTCTCTATCTGTGTCTCTCTCCTCTCCTCCTTGCCTCCATTCCCCCACTGGCTTTCCTCTCCCCCTCCTCAACACTCTCACCTCCCTCTTCTGTCTCCCCATTCCGTGGTGTCCTCCTTGCCGCCCCCCCTTTCCAGCTTTCCTGACCCATGTCTCTGCTTCCTCCCCTCTGCCTCTCCCCGCCCCCGGCAGGTGCTCTCAGGCCTGGCTCAGATGATGCGGGAGTGCTGGTACCCCAACCCCTCTGCCCGCCTCACTGCGCTGCGGATCAAGAAGACACTGCAGAAGCTCAGCAACGGTCTCGAGAAGCCCAAAGTGATTCCCTAGCCACAGGCCTGAAGCCTGACTCTCCGCTGCCTACAGTCCGTGTGGGGTGGGCGGCAGAGGGTGGCCTATCTGGGTAGAGAGATGTAGTGTGAGTCTGTGTGCTGGGGAGGAGGGTGCCCCTCTGCAGGTCGGCTGTGCCTGCCTGCCGGCTCATCCAGCCAAAAATACAGCTGGGCTGAAACCCGATCCGATCCGCCCCCCCCCCCCCCACCGTCTGGCCTGCTCAAAGCAGCAGGCTCCCTGACGCCTGGCTCCCTCCCCACCCTCATGCCCTGGGCACAGCCCCTACCACCCCCAGGACAGGATGCAAAAGAGGCCCCAGAGCCAGGGTGACCAGGCCAGGGAATCCCAGTCACGGGCCCAGAGCCCAGGCCTGCACTTTTCCCCCTGCCCTCGGTCAACCCCACTGCCCCACCAGAGCTGCCAGGGTGACACAGGGCTCTGTCTAGCCTTCAGTACACATCCTGCCTCTGGCATCAGCCTCACACCCAGGGTCCACCATTTCCTCTCTGTGGGTTTGCCTGGGGCCTCTGTCTCCTGGACAAGACCCCACCAGCTGAGCACCAGCTGCCTGGGAGAGCTGGAGCCTGATCCTGGGCCCCTTCCCCACCCCCAGCCTAGCTCACTTCTTAGGGCATTAAACCCAGGGAATCCTGCTGCAGGTGTGTCAGGGTCAGAGGACGGTGGAGAGGTAATAGGTCGGATGGGGGAGGCCCAGGACCTTCAGAACAACTGGGAGACGCTAAAGCCAAGCACAGCTCGGGAAAGGCTCAGCTGGGAGTCAGGAGACCCAGGTTCTGGTCCTGGGCAATTGCTCCATGGGACAAGAATGAGGCCTTCACTGTCCAGGACCTTTGTTTCCTCATCTACATATTGAAAGATTCAGGCCTGATGTCCTTTGAGGTTTTTTCAGCTCTAATTTTCTTTGAAATTTCAGCCTGTGTCAGAGGTCAGTTCATCAGTCCCTTCTGTTCCTTTTGCCCCAGCCCCTGGCAATTTGTCTCAAGGTAGGGCCTTGAAAATAACTTAATCTGAGGCCAGGAGTGCATGAAAGACCTCCTAGACAAATTCTACAAGCTCCAATTCCTGCCTTAAACCAGTAGCCATCTTTGGGTTCACACAGCCCTGGGCCTTGTGGCAGGCAAACCAGCCACTCACTCCACTCTGTGGCTTAGCCTTCTCTGTCCAGGACTGAGAAGGGCTCAGGGCCGGCTTCCTGCAGGGCCTCCAAGGCTCAGAAGACATTTGGCTCCAGCCAGCAAGCCTCCAGCGCCCAGGTTCCTGCTCGCCACTGGCCCCTGGCACAGGCCCACAGCCTTGGCCAGGCCCCAGACAGTGTGTGTCTAGGAAGAACCTGGTGGCTGTGGAGAAACACATGGGAAGTTCAGCGTTTGGCAATGTCAGGGGTGTATGTCCATGCAATGAAGAGGTTACCCCAAACCCTGGGCGGGTGGATGGGCTGGAGGTCAGTGGATGGGAGGTAGAACCTGAGGATGGGGGATTGGGGGGGCTCAGGCTAGGGACAAGGACAGTCCCACGCTTAGACGACCTGGCATCTCAGCCCTCAGGGCTGGGTGGAGAAGGACCCTCAGTTCTCCACAGGAGGTGACAAAAACACAGCCTCCTCCACTCCTGCTTTGGATGACCCAGCACAACCTCCCCAGGAGGCTTGCATGCTGCTTCCGCCAGCCACCGTGGCACTTTCCCAGGCCGGTCTCCCCATGTTGTGCAAGGCCCGCAGCACAACCAGGAAGTGAAACTGGGTGAAAACAGAAAGTGAGAGGGACCTGATGGGTCCTCCGATGAGCTCGGGACACTTTCATGTCTTCTGGTCACTGGAACCCACCCAGCCCAGGAGCCAGTCCCCCCCTCCCCATGCCAGATCTCTGCTGGATGGGGTGCGCAAAGCTTCTTCTCCTGGGACTCCACAGCCAGAAACGGAAGGCCACAGCTCCCCCGGAGGCTGGAAAATCCCAGAGGGGGAGAAGGTCTGAGGCAGGAGGCGGAGTGACAGGGGCGGCGGTGCTGGGAGAGAGTAGCCAGTGGCTAGGGAGGGAAGGAGGCCCTGGGGAGAACAGTGTGCCTGGTGCTTCTGTCTGAGTGCAGGAAGGTGTGCCAGGGCCCAAATTACAGTCTCTTACTTGGAGACACTGTGGGAGCACTTAGCTTGTGCTTAGCACATAGTAGGTCCTCAATAAAACATGCTTGAATCTCGAGCTCCTGCTGAGTCTTGCCAGGCTGGTGCCTCTGCAGTGGCTTGCGCAGAGGAAACCTGACAGGGCAGGGAAGGAGTGGGTCCCAGGGTATCATGCCCGGTCTTTACCCTGCGGGGACAAGTCACAGTTGGCGCAGACCCCTGCGCCCGACGCCCACCGCCCGGCGGCGGCCCAAATCTCAGTTCTGTCCCTGGTCTGGGAGCAGCCGGCTCGTGGCGCCCGCCACACCGCCCTCTGCTGGCCAACGGCTGCCCAGCGGCCGCCTCCCGCCCCGCCCCTGCGCCGGGACCGACAGGCCCTTCCTGGGGCGGGACCGACTCCCCTGCGCCTGGCGCCAGCCTGCGTGCGCTCCGCTGGGCCTCGGTTTGCAGGGACTGTCCCCCGAAAACCACACCTAGGAAGGAGCTTTCTGCGTCTTTACGCGGAGGGCAGCGTGCACCCATCCCCTTCAATTTGTCTGTTCTCGATTCCCTCCCCAGATGGGGTCCCCACCTTGCCTGGACTCCGCGCTCGTCCCTAGAATGGGAAGGAGCTCATCATCCTCGGGGACCCATCTTGGCATCCTGGGCTTAGAAAGCACCTCCCCAACCCCCAACCCCGGGAAACTGGGGGCAAGGAAGTGTCATGGGGGAGAAAGGTACTGAAAGAAGCAAAGAGGGTCTTCTCCATCTGACTTCCCAGCCTCGAAAATTTGTGCCTTTGTACTAGAGGCCGTTTGAGGGAACCGTAGAAAGGGTACCCTAATTCTTTCTACCACACAGGACCGACCCGACTCCCTGCAGACCCCAAGTCGGCCTCATGCCTGGTGCCTGTGTCCATGGACCGCCCCCTTCCTCCCTCAGGCATTACCCTCCTTCCCAAAGGAACTCTTAGACCAGCTGTGGGGAAATTAGAGCGTTCCTGGCATCCCACAAAGGCAGCCTTTCTCCTCCCTGGTCCCTACATCCCCACCCTGATGTCCACACTATGGTTGGACATGGCTGGGGTCAAAGAAAGGAGAATCGACTCGTTGCCCTCCAGGGTTAGAAGGGTCTTTGGGAGATCACCATGTCCTAGCCCCTGTCTCCCACGTGGAGTCTAGGGAAACTGCCTGTGGAAGAAGAAAACCCAATGACTTCTTTGCAGTTTTGCCCTACTTTCCTGGGGGGCCCCAACCCATAATTTCCTTACCTGTACAAAGAGGGAGAGGATCATCTGTGTAATAAGAATCCTCCCTAAGGGGTGATGAGTGTCTGTAACATGCCCAAGTGGGGGTGAAGGTGGTCTTCGGAGCATGAGCTTGGAAGCTGAGGACCACCCCTTCCGCTGCCAAGGCCTCAAGGTACCCAGGCCCCCGAGGATAGTTCTCCCTTCCTCCATCTGAGTCACCACTCTCCCTCAGTCCCACACCACATCAGCTTTCAAGGAGGGTGCTCTGCTTCCCCCCAATCCTCCCTTGCATCAAAACTAACAGACCAAGACGTGGCTGTCCTCGTGTGTAAGAGACCCAGGCCTGGGGGTGGAGCGGAGGGGTGCGCGGCCTGAGTCCAGTCTTCCAGGGCGGCGACTGATGCTATCCAAGCCGCCGTCACTCTAGGTGGGCGACTCTTGGAAGGAGCTGCTTCCACCAGGGCCACATTCAGTTTGCTAGAAATAGAGACAGAGGGCTTCTTGACTTTGCATATAATTTGCATAATGTCATAGACACACAGTCTATTTTCAGGCAGATTTCAGGTTAAAGTGTTGTCACTGCTGCCCTGCGGGTGTCACGTCTGGATGAGTCCCTTCTCTGTTCTTTCTCACCCACCCACTCTTACTGACCTAGATCCCAACTGCAGGAGCAAGTGGTGAGGTGAGGGGGAAGAGCGGGGTTGTCCAGGGAGACATGAGGACAGGGCAAGAGGCATGCTGGAATCTCCTTTATTCCTCCGGCCACCACCAAAAGCAGAACGTAGCTGCTCAAGAGCAGCTGATGGGCAGAGGGCAAAGGAATGGGAAGCGAGGTAGCCCATGCTCTGTTCTACAGAAACCTTTCCTGTGTCTCCTAACCAGGAGAACAGCCAGTTCTCATACTCCTGATTCAGGCTTCTGCCAGTTTGAAGAAAGATGTCTAGATAAACCTGTTCCTCTGAGCCACCCATAAAGCCTTGCTTGGCCCAGCTCTCCCTCTTGGGCGTTTATTTTCAGCACTAAGATTTGATCTTTGCCTCCTGTGAAATCTGACCCTCAGTCTGTCCCTCTCCTGGGAGCCCCATCTGGGAGACCAGTATCTTGGTCTGACAATCCGTGTTTTTAAAGCACCTGGCACATAGTAGGAGGTCAATCAGTGCTAGAGCTCCTCTCCTCCCCTTCATCTAGAAGTCTGGGCCAAGTTCCTAATTGTCCCAGCCCTGGATGCCCAGCACAGGCACTATCCTCTGAGGGCTCGAGGCAAACACATTAGAAGGGCCAATTGGGGTGATTGTCACTAAGTTGTCTGTGACCTTGGCAGGTCATTTGGCCTCCCCTCAGCTAGAAAGGAGGGGATTTCGTGGGTTTTAGGGCCAAGAGCAATTCTTATGTCATAGCTTGAGCTGTTTGGTTACTTGCCTTGGTCACAGAGGGCTAGGGGTGGAGTCCTACCCTCCTGCAGACCATTTGCCCTCAGGGCCTGTGTGGTGTGCTGTCTTACTACATAGACCTAAGGATTCACCAGATACAAAGGCAAAGAGCCTTACTGGGTCCTGGGAATCATGAGGCCACTCGGTCAGGCTGGACAGCAGCAATGCGCTACCCAGAATTCCCGGTCCCTGGCGTCCAGTCCCCCTGGACCTGCCTCGTCCCCTTAGGCAGGCGTTTCCTGTTGATAAGAAGCTCAGTCACAAACACTGATAAAGAGATGAAGAAAGGAAATTGACGGGCTTGGGTATAATGGGCATTTTGTCTGCCTTTTCTACCTTCTTCCTTCTCCCAGCACCCCTCCCCCACTGCTTCCCAGAACTGAGGGGAAAACATGCCCCCCACCTCCACTGTGGGCCCTATTTTGTAGTTTCCAGGAATTTGACCTTACAGAGCCCTTAGAAGCAGGGCCTCGCTTGACCCGGTTGGGGGAGTGGGCGGCGCAGGGTCGGAGCTCAGAGGCAGGAAGCACTG